CCTAAACTTAACCTTACCTTACCTAAACCTAACCTAACCTAAACCTAACCTTACCTTAACCTAACCTAACCTAACCTAACCTAAACCTAACCTTACCTTAACCTAACCTAATCTAAACCTAACCTAACCTAACCTAAACCAAACCTTACCTAAACCTAACCTAACCTAAACCTTACCTTACCTAAACCTAACCTAACCTTACCTAAACCTAACCTAACCTAAACCTAACCTTACCTAAACCTAAACCTAAACCTAACCCTAACCCTAACCTTAACCTAACCTAAACCTAAATCTAACCTAACCTAACCTAACCTTAACCCTAACCTAACCTAAACCTAAACCTAAACCTAACCTAACCTAACTCATGAATTACACATCTTTTCCCTACATTTCTACACCACGCCTTCCTTTGTCGCGGTAAAACATTACGGGAACCTTAAAAATGCTTTGGTATTCAAACTGAACACGTCGAAATTATTAATGACACGAACCCGTGTGGGTGTAACATAAACTGCACGTGTAAACAAGTTTATGTTGCTAAAGCTCTGTTCACACCCACCTATGCCTACTACTACATTAGGATTCAGCTCGCATGTGGGCCTTTCTATATTAGAGGATAATGAGATTAGGTAACAACTTTTGTCAATATCTACGATCTGCTCGTGATAGCAATAATAACTACTTTATCTCAGGAGACATCAACATCCACGAGCGCAAGGAATGGTGGTCCGTATGTTAAACAACATCCAAACAAAAGATAGACGATGCTTTCATCGTTAGACTAAATATATAAACCTCCTGAAAGAATGACTTATTACTCTCTTTTAATTTTTAATTCTAAATCTCTGAAACTTTTTTATTTTAATGTATGGCACATAAATATCATTTTACCTATAATTGTGGAGCTCTTTGGACCAGTTCATAGGATGAGTTCTTGTAATGAATCTAAGATCTACATGGTTGGAAGTTGCAGTGTTGCATATATCCAAAATGCTAGTTTTTGCACACCTCTAGAACGAAATCTGTAATAGACTAATTAAGAAGAATGTGAAGAACAGTCAGTTACAGACAAGCGTGACATAAATATGAACCTCTGTAGATGTACTGATGGGCGTTTCTTCCTTTAATGATCGCATATATGAAAGCTACCTATCCTGCAAGAGTGTATTGCTAGTAATTCTGTCTTAGGACAGCTGTGAGGTATTTCCCTGAACTTGTTTTCAAATAATGTTTGTTTTATGGCATCGTATATACATATGTTCTGTGGACTGTTGAATTTGTAAAATGTATTTGTCACTAAGTTGGATGTAGTCACTACATTTGGTTGTGGGGGTGAGAATGTAGTTATTAGATTGTGTTGTGGAGGTGTGGACGTAGTCAATAGATAGATTGTGCTGTGGAAGTGTGGATGTAGTCACTAGATAGATTTTGATGTGGAGGTGTGGACGTAGTCAATAGACAGATTGTGTTGTGGAGGTGTTGATGTAGTCACTAGATAGATTGTGTTGTGGAGGTGTGGATGTAGTCACTGGATAGATTGTGTTGTGGAGGTGTGGACGTAGTCACTAGATAGATTTTGATGTGGAGGTGTGGACGTAGTCACTAGATAGATTGTGTTGTTGGACGTGTTGATGTAGTCACTAGATAGATTGTGTTGTTGGACGTGTTGATGTAGTCACTAGGTAGTTTGGGTT